GACAGTGGTTTCCTGTGCATTGTATGTCTCTTTCCCAGTAGCCTTCTCCCTTAAATCAGACACTGACTGAGGGTTTTGTATAAATGCATGGTACATGCAGGCTTTTTTATAGGATGTGTAAACTGAGAATAGACCTCTGTGTCCTTATTAGAATCTCTCCCACAGGAGTGCTTCTCAAGGTCTACTCCTGCTTTTTGTATTTGATGACTTATTCTGAAATTTTCCATCTTTTATCTCTGGTGAGTTGGGCTCTCTTTTCCTTGGCTGTGATTTCCTGTCAGTATAACCCCAACTGCTATTTCTCAAGATTCCTCAAAATTTCTAATCTATTGATACTTTCTTGACATACTTTCTTCTTCTCTAGACCTTTTTTTTTGTTTTTCTTTTTGCTAGAATATTGTTTCTGCCAATTCAAGCGGGATGATGGGAAAGAGGGGTAATGTAGTTAATGTTTAGTTTTCTGTCTAAAACCAAAAGCCCCAACCTTTAGATTTCATAAGCAGCTTCTGTCAGTAGTAAAAATTCAATTCTAAAATGCCTCCTAGGGCTAGACCATAATTCTTTGATGCATGTGTACGTGTAATTTTTTACATTTTAATTTTCTTTAATAAGAATGCGTAAAATCTTCATTTAACGTGAAAAATGGGGTTTTTTTCCTTCTGTTTACAAAGGAGGTAACACATTAGATTTAGAGTATTACAGAAAATGGACATTTTAATAGTTTCTTAGAGAAATCCAGACTGCTTTGGAAGGTAGATATGAAAAACTTTATTATTTTTTTATTGAAGTACTGTTGATTTACAATGTTGTGTGAGTTTCTGGTGCAGCAAAGTGATTCCATTATATTCTTTTCCATTATAGACTATTATAAGATACTGAATATAGTTTCCTGTGCCATACAGTAGGACCTTGTTGTTTATTTTATATATAGTAGTTTGTATCTGCAAATCCCAAGCACCTAATTTATCCACACCTGCCTTCTCCTTTGGTAACCATAAGTTTGTTTTCTATGTCTGAGTCTGTTTCTGTTCTGTAAATAAGTTCATTTGTATCATATTTTAGATTCCACATATAAGCGATGATGTATGATACTTGTCTTCCTCTTTCTGACTTCACTTAGTGGTAATCTCTAGGTCCATCCATGTTGCTGCAAATGACATTATTTCATTCTTTTTTATGGCTGAGTAGTATTCCATTTTATACACACACACACACACACACACACACACACACACATGCCATGTCTTCTTTATCCTTCCATCTGTTGATGGACATTTAGGTTGCTTCCATGTCTTCACTATTGTAAATAGTGCTGCTGTGAACATTTGGGTGCATGTATCTTTTCAAATCAGAGGAAAAAATTATTTTTATTGGTTTTTGTATTGAAATGTTTTTTAAATTGTTACTGTATGTGGAATGGAGTGGAAATAGGAATTAAACTTAAGTACAATTTGCAAAATTTACGCAGAAGGCCATTAACATGGATACATTCAGTGTAAGTTTGAATTAACCCCCTGATCTTTAGGAACTCTTCAGATATAAGTTTTCATTTTTATATTTTAGAGAAAAAAATCAAAAATACTTTTTAGTACCTAGTTTTAGTTTTGCAGCTAAATGATTTAAAAACATGGTTGTTTTTAGTGCCAGTGAAACTGTCTTTTGACAATTTTATGAATTCCCTTTCCATCTAAATAACAGCATTCCAAATATTAATGTAAAATTTTCTTCATGAGAAATTTGGGAGGATATGTGAGAATTTTTCACTTATTACTAATAGTCCCCAGTATTTATACCCAGATGTATTTTTTTTCTGTATTTTGGTTTAGATTTTTCTTCTTTTCTTATAACTATAAAAGCAATATATATTGAAACTTTTCATATTCTATAATAGAAAGTTAAAATGTCCTAACTTCCCCCTCTCCAATGATTATTATTTATCTTTTGGTGCATGTTCTTTTATGTTTCTTCAATTCACATACACACATATATATAAACATTTTTCATTGTCATTAGTATGCAATAAAAATTATATTTGTAAGGGTATGTAAACTTAAGGAGTAATAGAAATTCTGTCCTTGAGAGATTTTACATTTGAATATTCTTAGAGTAAAATATTTGGATACCTTGAAAAAGTTTCAGTGAAACTTTTTTTTTTTTTTTGCGGTACACGGGCCTCTCACTGTTGTGGCCTCTCCCGTTGTGGAGCACAGGCTCCGGACACGCAGGCTCAATGGCCATGGCTCACGGGCCCAGCCGCTCCATGGCATGTGGTATCTTCCCAGACCGGGGCACGAACCCGTGTCCCTTGCATTGGCAGGCGGACTCTCAACCACTGCGCCACCAGGGAAGCCCCCCAGTGAAACATTTTTACTCTTATTTTTCACAAGTTTCTGCTCCAAGCTTGGTCTCTGTTAAGCCAGTCCAGAGATTTTTGTACTTTTGACATAACATCTCCTCCCTTTTTTTGCTGATGGAAATCGTGCTTCTTTATTAATATTTCCTTACTACCTTTGTCCAGTCCACACCATTGCACTGTTAACAGCCTCCTAATTGATCTGTGTATCTCATGAGCCTCTCACTTTGCCTGTCTATGCTGCATTGTTGATAGACATGTCAAATGATGCAGTGACCCTGTGGGGAGATATGAAAGGGAATGGGGAATGACTGCTAATGGGTACAGGGTTTCTTTTTGGAGTAACGAAAATATTCTAAAATTAGATTGTGATAATGGTGTTATAGTGGATATACTAAAAAAAACCCAAGCTGTATGCTTTAAATAGGTGAATTATATGGTATGTGAATGATACTCTGTAAAGCTGTTTGAAAAGCCAATAAAAGATTTAAATGTGTAACTTTGAGGCAAAAGTCAACATTACGCAGAGTAAAAGGCATATTGTATATGAAAGATCAAAGAAATGGGAAGTGTATAGTTTCTAATCCGCTTTATAATCAAAGTAATTTTTTATAATTCTTATAGTACAGATGTTATAAACATGGTAGTCTTACCTCCCTGAGTATTGTAAACCTGCCCACTGCTTTCATTTTTGAGAAGCAACACTTGTCACTTTTCTCTTCTGCTACAAAGCTGCTTCTAGGTAAAATGTGACAGTATGGAAGAGAAAGCATGTAACATTCTCACTTGCCTCCCCTAGCCCAGTACTCCTTTATTCTCCTCTCAGTGACCCAGCCCCGTTTTATAGAATTCAAAATCTCTTTC